AGGGGCGTTGTGAGTCGTCGGCCAAGCTGCTCTCCTCGCGTGTTGTGCACAAAGGGGGGCCATCGAGGAGAAGCAAACGACTCACTGGACTTCTTGCGACTGCCGCCCAGATCCATGTGCAGGCGATTGAGCAGCCATCCGAGAAACTCGACGGGATCGGCCTGTTGAGTAATGCGAAACCTGCCGCCCGAGACGTTTGTCACTTCCTGCGCAAACTCGTGCGGCGACACTTGGGCCTTGAAGGCGCGCGGATTCCAGAGCTTGCGCACCAGCAGCGCCAGGCGCTTCACCAGCTCGCTGGCGTGCGCCAGTTGGCGCAGGCCCGCCGTGTCTGTCGTTTCGAGCGGCGCCGCATCCTCAAAGCCTCCCAAGAGCAGATAGTCGCGCAGTGGCTTGACGTGCGCCAGCGCCTGGATGACGACATTCATGTAGTCGCTATGCCCGACGATGTTGTTGAGCCCGACAAAGCCGGGCAAGTAGGGCGTGGCGCCCAAGGCCAGCGAAGGCCGCGCGTCGGGGGCATCGAGACGCGCAATCGAGGCGCGCGTGTAGGTGGGATGCAGGAGGTAGAGAATGTCGGAGAGCGCGGCAGAGTGCACTTCGTACGAGTCGGGAAGGATATACACCTGTCCGCGGTGGGGGGGGGGGGGCAATTCTCGCAATCAGACTCTCTCTCCTCTGACCTCCACGCTCTCAACAAAGGCACGACACGTACCTTTGCGCTGCCCAGGTTCAGAAATACGCGATGTCCCACATCCACGGCGTGGAAGTAGGCATGCGACGAGCGCCCGCGCCCCTGGAAGTAGCGGCCGCACACGAGACAGGCGTAGATGTTTTGGTTGGCCAGCGAGACGGAACAGAGCTTCTCAAAGTCAAAGTCGAGCAGTGGCCGGTTGATCTGGAGAGAGGGCGCCAGGGATGAGCAAAGAGTGGAATGGCAAAGAGAGAGAGAGAGAGCGGGAAGGGTAGGAGGCTAGCTCGTCGCTACACACGCCTCTGGCGCCACTGATGACTAGAGCTCCGCTGCTTTCCTTGCCGACAAAAGCAAACACTCAAGGCTGTCGTGTCCTTCGTCTTCCTCCCTGCAAGCAAAAACAGCGAGTGTCTCCGCTCTCTTCGAGCTGCTCAATCACTCTCTGCCCGTCTCTTTTCTCGCGCTGCCTGCACGAACACTGCGGCTCCTGCTGCCCCCCACTCGTCTGCATCTGCCTTGCACCCTATTGGCAGAGCCGCGCGCCAACATGCATGCGCCCACTCGCAAGCCCGGGGCGCATTCTCTCCTCCCTTGACTGTAAGCCTCGCTTCTTGCCCGCTGTACCCGCTGTTGCCGCTGATCCCCTCTCCCTACTATCTCACTATTGCCCCCCTATCCCGCTGTGCCCGCTGTGCCGCCCTCTGTCTTTCGCGCGTGGGCGTGTGCGGACTCACCGTGTCGAGATACACGTCACTGCTGCTGCGCTTGCCCGCCGCTTTTGCCGCCTGCTCCTCTTGCGCCAGGCGCTGCCAGTACTCTGCGCCCTCGATGGCTGCCTCGTCGACCTCTGCCTCGCGCGGCGGCGGCGGCGGCGCAGCGGACGCTGCCGGCGGTGGTGGAGAGGCGGGTGGAGGTGGGATGTCGTCGAGAGGCGCAGGTGGAGGCGAGGCGGGAGGAGGTGGGACATCGTCGAGAGGCGGCGGTGGCAGCTCGTCTGCTGGCGGAGGCGGCGGCGAGGCGGGAGGAGGTGGCACGTCGGACGCAGGAGCTGGCGGCTCTTCCTTGGCTTCCTCACCTGATAGCCCCCGCCAGTCCCCAGCAGGCGGTGCGTCTGCCCCTGCTGGTGGAGCAGGAGCCTCGACTGGCTCCTCGGCGACCGTAGCAGGCTCGACAGCCTCGGCCTTGGAGCGCGACACACGCGCCCGCTTGGCCGGCCTGGAGGAAGATGCGGCAGCCGCTTCTGGCTCGGCAGCAGTCGGTGCTGCGGCAGCGTCGGCTGCTGCTGCTGAACGACGGGTGGAGCGAGGCGGCATGATGAGTGATGGAGGAAGGCGACCAAGCTTCGCGCCGTGCGGCCGCGAGGCGGAGCGATGCGCGCGCCCGCAATCTAATTGCGCCTGTTCCCACGGCGTGGCGCGCGCCAAAAGTCGCCTCGGCGCCGCTCCCTGACGCGCCGCTCCACTTCTCACCACCACACCTCCTCGATCTCTCAGGCCATGAGCCGCGTCGAAAAGGGCGCGCTGCGCTTCAAGCCCGCCCTCGCCAGCCGGCCGCGCGCGGGCGGCAGTGCCGCTGCGGCGCCGGCCGCGGCGGGCTTGGGCAGCGGCAGCGGCAGCGCCGACGCCGCAGCGACGCCGCGGCGCGCCAGCCTCTCCGTCTCTGCGTCGCCGGCACCCAGCACTGCCGCAGCAGGCAGCGGCAGCAGCACGGTAGCAGGCAGCGGCAGCAGCACGGCAGCAGGCCACGCCGCTGCGCCGCTCCGTCTGGCCGCGCCCGCGTCCTCCTCTCGCGCCGCCTCTCCGCCGCGGCCCACACCCACTGCACACGCCTCACCGCCGCCGTCGCAGCCTCGCCGCGCCACCGCCTTGCTGCCGCCCGTGCGTTCGCCCTCTCCTCCGCCGGCCGCCTCCTTCGGCGCGCCCAGCAGCAGCAGCAGCGCCGCCAGCGTCTCTCGCGTCTCCGCCACGCCCGCTCCCACGGCGGGCCTCGCGGTGCGTGCGCGCGCCTCGGCCACTCCGGCACCTGGCGCCGCAGCAGGCGGCACAAAGACGACGTCGTATGCCACGCCGCGCAAGGCGGGCGCCTCGATGCCCTTCGCCGCGCGCGGCGCCGCCGGCGCGCCAAGGCCGGGCAGCGCCGTGCCGCCCTCTGCCGGCTCGCGCGCTGCTGCCTCTGCCGCTGCCGCTACAGCGGGACCAAGCACGTCGTCGCTCCTGCGCGCACCCTCTGCCTCGCCTGCGCCTGCGCCCGCGCAGCACCGTATCATCCCCTCTCAAGCACCCGCAAGCCTCACTCGTGGCCCGTCTGCCAGTCCAGCGCCGCGCGGAGCGCGTGGAGCAAGTAGGACTCCGAGCGCCTCGCCTGCGCCGACGCCGCGTCGGGCCGTTGCGGCATCGCCTGCGCCTGCGCAGAAAGAGGCACAGGCGAAGACGCAGGCGCCGGGCGGGGACAAGGAGAGCGCTAGTGCGAGTGGGAGCGGCACTTTCGGTGCGCAGCCGTCCGCAGCGGCCGCAGCTTCCTCGAGCGCCGACGTCCACGAGGCATCCGACGAAGAGATGCACACTCCTCCTCCTCCCACTGCCTCGCCCGCCGTTGCTCCTCGCGCCAGCGAGCCGAGCCCTGCCTCTCGTCGCGCGCGCGCACGCGCTTCCTCCATCCTGCCGCCTCAGACGGACGCCACCGCGGCATCTGACGCAGCGCAGATGCCGCCGCCTTGGCAGGGCCGTCAATTGCGTGCGCCTTCCACGAGTGGGGATGCCTCGAATGCATCGGCATCCGCATCATCATCTACTTGTCGACCGCGCCCTCGTGCTCGCGCCAGCAACACCGTCGGCGCAGTCATTGTTCCTCGCCCTCGTTCCGGCTCAGCAAGTACGCGCGGTGCCTCGCCGCGGCGCGCCGGCAGCCCGGCTGCCGCCGCAGCTGGTGCGCCAACGGCGTCGGAAGCAGAGAGCGAGGATGAAGCGGCTTCGGACTCGGCGGACGAGCGGCGCAGTGAAGAGTCGGACTCGGCGGATGAGTTCGTCCCTGCCGCCGATGCCTCGACCGCTCGCAGAGGAGGCAAGAAGCGTACGCGTTCTCGCGCTGCCGACGATGACGACGAGGCAAGCGGCTCGGAGGCGGAGACGTTGCAGGACAAGCCGAAGCGCAAGAAGGGCATTCAGAAGCGACGTCGTCGTCTGCTGCCCGATGCAGCTCCAAAACGGCCGCTGAGTTCCTTCCTGCTTTACTCGCAGGGACGTCGAGCCGCTCTGCGCGCCGAACAGCCGCAGCTGAGCATGGGCGAGCTAGGCAAGCTGCTGGGCGCCGAATGGCGCAATCTGCCGAGCGGCGTCAAGAGTGCGGTGGAAGAGCAGGCGAGCGACATGCGGGCAGCGTGGGAGAGGGAGCTGGAGATGTGGAAAGAGGCCAACCCGGGCTGGGAAGAGGCGGCGCAAACGGAGGCGGAGGAAGCTGCGACGAAGAAGGAGGAGAGGAAGAAGAAGGAGAAGGTCAAACGCAAGCCGCGAAGAGAGCTAAAGGAGGGAGAGCCACGCAAGCCACTCTCGGCATACCTGCGCTACTCGAGCCACGTGCGTCACGAAGCGGCGCAGCTCCACCAAGGCGACGAGGCGCAACAGCCTGCACTCAAGGCTGCCCAGATCGCCGAGCGCTGGCGAGCTCTGCCGCCGCACGAGCGCGCCGAGTGGACCTCTGCCGCACGCGCCGCACGAGCAGAGTACGACGTTGCACGAGCAGAATGGATGGAGGCGCACCCTTCGGCGAACGACGAGTCTGGCGAGGAAGCGCCGCGTGCTCCTCGCCGCGTCAAGAAGCCTCGCGTGCCGAGAGAGCAGCATCACACGACGATCAGCGATGATGAACAGGCGTATCAGCTCGAGCTGGAGGCGCTCAAGGAAGCAGGCCAAGATGCATCGCATCTCCGTCTCGATCGCGACAATACGAGAATGGGCGAGATTGCCGTGCCGGAGCATCGTGCGGGCATGCCGGGACCGCGGACGTTCGAGCTGCGTCGCACGTACAAGAAGCAGCTCGACGCACGCAGGAAGGAGCTGCAGCGCGCGAGAAGGGAGGGCAGAGAGCCGGAGGAGGATGCGGAGATGGTGCAGCCGACAGAGGCGCAGGAACGCAAGATGCTGAAGAGAGCCGCTGGGGCAGCAGAGGACGATGCGGAAGAGGTCGTCTCCAACTCTGACTATTCCTCCAACGACGAGGACGCACGCGCTGCAGCACCGGCTCGACAAGGCAGTCATGACTCGACGCACTCTTCGGACTCGGACGCGTCTGCCGCCCCCAGCGTCGTCTCTGCCGCCTCGACGCATCACTCGCTGCGCGAAAACCGCTTTGCAGTGCAGACGCGCATCGTCGACGGCCAGATTGTGCTCGACGAGCAGTCGCTCGAGGCGGATCTGGCCGCCGCGCATGCGGACACGGTGCACGAGTACGTCGACGAGAACGAGCGGGAGCGCTTCGTCAACAGCGCCACGCGCGGCAAGCGAAAGGGCGTGCGACGATGGGATGCAGACGAGACGCAGAAGTTCTACAAGGTGCGTGTCTCTTCGTCGTCTTCCCACCTCCGCGCTGCGCCTCTGGCCTGCACGCCGGCACATGCTGACGCCTTGCTGTTCTTCATTCATCCAGGCCGTCTCGCAATGGGGCAGTGACTTTGAGATGATCTCGCGCCTCTTTCCCGACCGCGACCGCAAGCAAGTCAAGCAGAAGTGGCACGTGGAAGAACGTGCTCGTCCCGCCTTGCTCGACGCCGCCTTCGCACGACGGCTGCCCGTGTCGCTCAAGAAGTACGGCGCGGCCACGGGCGTGGATCTCTCGGGGCCGCCGCCCAAGATCGAGGCGCGCGCGGGAGCGCTGCAGGCCAAGCTGGAAGCTGCGGCGGCGGCGGCAGCGGCGGGAGGGAAGAAGGAGGAGAGATCGGAGACGGTGGAGCGTGGCGAGGATGGGCAAGAGATTGTGTACGAGGGCGACGAGGAAGAGGCCGCCGCGACGCCGGCGCCGACTTGCGCAGCAGCACGACAGAAGAGCTCGACGCCCGGCAAAGGCTACTCTTCGCACGGCGAAGAGTCCGAGGGAGACTTGCCCTCCGTCACCGAGATCATCTCGCGCGGCCACGCCGCGGCTGCGCGCCACAATCGGCCACGCGCCTCCTCCAACGCCTCGAGCGCATCGGCCCTGCCTGCCGCGGCGGCGGGCCGAGCGCCGAGCGTGGCGCGCGCGAGCACGAGTGCCTCGGCAGCGACGAGCGGCATGTCGCGCGAGAAGAGGCGCGAGCTGGAGCGGCGCAAGGAGCGAGAGGAGCGCGAACGCTCGAGACGCCGCAGAGTGCCGGATGCGGCCGAGGAGGAGATCATTGGAGAGGTGTAAGGCCGTCGCCCCCCACACACAGCACATCAACACCTGTCCATGCCGCAGCTTGCACGGCAGCGGCCACATGGGCCACTGGTGCAGCCCTGTATACCCGCCTAGGCGTGGGCCATTTGTACCCTTGTGCGAGACGAACGTGACGACGCTGTAGCAATTGACCGCGAGCGACACCCCTCATCAGCCTTGCCCTGGTGCGCGCGCGTGAAGCTCAAACTTGGGCGAGCCACGCCTCTTCTGCCGCCTTGCTGCAGCGAGAAGCAGCTCGCATGGACGCCGCTGTGGACCGAGGACGGAGAGACTCGGCTGCCGCCGCTCGTAGCCGGTGCCCTCCCGTCTCGCCTCGCCCCCCAGACAGATGGCCTGTGCGAGAAGCGTGCGCGCGCCAGGAGGCGGCGCGCGGCCGGGCGTTGGCTTGTCGGTGGCGGGGGAGCGCACCGCGCGCGGCGTGCTCGCTCTCCTCTCTCGCTTGCCTCCGCTCCTCCACCACCACGCACAAGCACAAGCACAAGCACAAGCACAAGCACAAGCACAAGTCTCGCATCCGAGCAATGCAGCCCCTCAACGTCACTGTCGCCCAGCCGCGGCCGCTGCGCACGCTGCGCACGCTGCGCCTCAGCGACGCAGCCCGCGCCTCCTCCGCTTCCTTGGCGGGCGACACGCTCTCTCCCTCGCAACTGCCATGCGCAGCCGATGGCGCATATGTCCTCATGCGTCGTCCAGCCGACGCAAGCGCAGACACAGGCGATGCAGCATCCTCCTCATCGACGCCGTCTGAGGCTGATGCTCTCCTGGCTCGCATGGGCAGCAGCACCACGCTCCTCTTCGACGGCTGTGCCTCCACTTCTTCTCCTCGACGAAGCGTTCGTCTTCAAGGCCTGCCTTTTGCCAAGCTCTCGCTTTGTGAGTGCCCCC